TGCCCCTCAGTAGATGAATGGATCAAGAAAATGTGGTATATATACACAATGGAATTCTATGCCTCCATCAGAAAGAATGGCATTGCCCCATTTGCTAGGAAATGGAAAGGCTTGAACTGCAGGCCTGGGCACTGTTCCTGAGCATCTTATGCTCAGGACCAGTGCTGCCACGGCTCCACTTCTTCTGGGTTTCTTTTTCTTTTCTTTTTCTTTTTTTGGTGAATTAATTGGAAATAAGAGTCTCATGGACTCTTTCATGCATGGGCTGCTTTTGAACTGCAGTTCTCAAATCTCAGCCTCCTGAATAGCTAGGATTTATAGGTGTGAGCCGCCAGTGCCTGGCTTCAAATGATTTTCTTTTTGTGAATTAGTCCTTTCCCCCTATTGTAGAAATCAAAGCATTTTATCAATTTGTAGAATTGTGTATTTCTACTGGCTTTAGGATGTAGACATCGAACTCCACTGAGAGTGGACCTTAGTGGCCTAAGGAGGCATGGGAGATTAACTGTGTGACAAACCATATTCCCTAAATCAGCATTTTAAAATTATGTTTTCCTAGGGATTAGAAAAATAGTAATTCATTCTTTTTTTTTCTTTTTTCTTTTTCTTTTTGGTCGGTCGTGGGAGCTGAACTCTGGGCCTGGGCGCTGTTTCTCAGCTCTTCAGCTCAAGGCTAGCGCTCTACCACTTGAGCCACAGCACTACTTCTGGCTTTTTTTCTGCTTTGTGATGCTGAGGAATCGAGCCCAGGGCCTCATGCATGCAAGGCAAGCACTCTACCACTGAGCCAACTTCCCAGCCCCAGTAATTCAGTCTTTTTTTTCGGGGGGGGGTCCTGTTGTGGGCCTGAACTCTGGGCCTGGGCACTATCCCTCAGCTCTTCAGCTCAAGGCTAATGCTCTAAGCCACCTTCCCAGCCCCCCCCCCCGTAATTCATTCTTAATAAGAGTCATACACAGCTTTTTTCCCCAATAAATGTATTTCAAATAAGATATTTGATTTGAAGAAAATAAAAAGTGATAGTACAACAGGTGTGACCCTTTGTCACACACTGATCTCACTTTGCTTTCTGGAAATGACATGCCCCCAGTGGCTATTTTGATTGCAAAGTTTTATTTTAAGATATTCTCTAAAGCAAGCACTCAGAACTCTGCTACTAACATTGTTTATCAATTATACAAAGAAGACTAAAGTCTGTAAAACACTGACAAGAAAGAAAGGATGGGGTAAAAGATCTAGGAATGGGGTTGGGTGTGTAAGGTTAGTGGTAGAGCATATATTGAACACATGCATTCCCATCTCTAGTACTTCAGGACAAACAACAACTAGGTTCGGATCCTAATTCTGCTAATAAAATGGGCAGATGAACCTAAGCCACTAAGACCATTCCTCACATATAAGGTTGAAATCTTGGCAGATGTTTTTAATATGAAACAGGTTACAATGTATATGGAAGTGTTAAGGCTGGAAAATGATCTTTAAATGAATCAACAAAAATGAATCAACCATTATTACTTCCAAATTATTTAAAGAAGGCTCAGGGCTCAGAGAATGAGAACTTTCAAAGAGATCGTTTTGTTTTGTTTTGTTTTCTCCATGGTGAAAACTGAGTAGGTTCCAATTTTGAGTTGATGGTTTTTCTGTCACTACTTAGGAAGAAAAGACTGAAACATATGCTTGCTTCTCTCCAGATAGTATAAATACCTAGTTTTTTACTTACCACTGGATGGAATTGTATAGAAGTAGACAGTGGAACCTTGCGATTTATTATTTGAATGATTATTATATCAGAGATTTCTGGAGTTATTAAAAAGTGTCTTTGCAGACCTGTTATTGTGGAAACTGAAAGAAAGGGTAAATCGCATGCCTGGGAGAGAAATCCCATTTGAATGTGATAAAAGCTTTACTTAGGCTAACCATATTAATTCTAATAATAGTATAACAAAGGTGAATAGGAAAGTTAAGCAAAGGTTATGTTTTAGATTTCTGGGAAGAACCTTATTAAATTATGATAATTCCACATAGCAAAGCTTTCCCCTGTCTATAATATTAGCAGTTCATAAATGAAGGAAATGTAGTGCTTCCGTTCCTTTTCCTTTTTCTTCTTACAGAAATGAAACCAGGTCTTCTATTAGGAAAAGTTTTCTCAGAATAGCTACCTCATCTTTTCTGTAGTCAGTCTACTCCAGATGGAGAGAATAGAATGGAAACCCAGAAGGCTTACTTTAATTAGTTTTAAATGAATTGTGGAATCTTGTTTGTTTATTTGCTTTTTGGCAGTTGGCAGTAGTGCAGCTTGAACTCAAGGCCTGGGCTTTGTCCCTGAGCTCTTTTTGCTCAAGGCTACAGTTCTACCACTTTGAGCTGCAGCTCCACTTCCCGTTTTCTGGTGGTTAATTGGAGATGTCACGCAGCCTTTCCTGCCCTGGCTGGCTTTGAACCACGATCTTCAGATATCAGCCTCCTGAGTAGCTAGGATTACAGCGCCTGGCAGGATGTTGTTTTACATAATTTGAATATATGACCTTCAAAACAAAGAGAGCTAGTCTCATTTTAGAAGCTATATACTTACTGTATACTTAAACAACTGATTAATTTGACATATGCCTTCCTGTATTGAATAGCTGTGGTAGAGAGCTGAAGAAATATTTTCTCTTTTGTTTTTCAAAGTTACTTGAAGTAGGTACCTGTGAAATTATTGTAAAGATAAATTAGTAGATGCTAATTCAATAAGTTAAAATGTTGAATCTGAGGATTGTTTTTGCACTCTGTACTGGGAAGATGGCACAAAAAGCATAACTTTTAAAATTGTGTTCAGGCCTCAAGATATGGCTTAATTCATTCAACCTTGAGAAGATCAGTACATACTCTTGGGTGTTAAACCTGAAAGATGCCATTGGTTTCCTTCCATTTGGGTCCTTGGTGGATATGACAAAGAGAAGTCAGCTTTTCCTATTAGAAAACCTCTAAGTCCCCAGAATAGTATTTGTTTCTTCTATTTCAGCTCTTTTTGCACTTGTGTTCACAAACCTGCTAGGGGTGATTTGATTTTATCTCCTGGATCAACAAATATAAATTTAAGTCTTGAAGACAAGTATATCTTTGTCAGGATCATTTTGATTGGTTTAACACTGATTTTTATTGGTTAGAGTGGTTTACTTTAATCTTTCTAAGTAATCCTATAAAGGAATTCTGAGATGCCCTTCAGATATGGAAGTTGGATATAACTATGACCTGTTTTAAACCATGTATACAAACCATTCTCAAAGGCCTATGTGTATTTAGTATATTGGACACAGCTTCAAATACCGTGTACATAAATATAACCCCATTCCCACTATGATATTAAGTTCTAATGTATCTTCTTTGTGTATGTGCTGGTTCTGGAGCTTGAACTGTGGGTTTTGTGTTCGTACTGGGCTTTTTTGCTCCTGGCTGGCACTCTACCAATTGAGCCAAGCTACAATCTGGCATTTTACTGTTTATTTCAGGTTTTCGGCTCAGGCTATCTCTGAGCCATATCCTCAAATCTCAGTTTCATGAATAACTAGGATTACAGGCACTTGGCTTAATTTCTAATATATCCTATTTTTTAACTTGCAATGGATACACAAAATCATAAATATTAAAAATTAATGGGATCCAGATAATGCTTAATACATGTGTATGTTGTATAATATCTAAGTCATATGTTTCCTTAAATATGTTTTTCAGTTCCTGGTGGTGAAGTTTTGATGTTTTAAATTCAGGCTTTATTTATACAATTTTGACTATTCAATTTTAATGAAATTTCACTCAAATGAAAACATCATAATTAGAAATCACTATCATACATGTTGGGGCTGTAGCTCAATGGTAGAAGAGGTTGCTTTGTATGCAGGGGCCCCTGGGCTTGACCCTTAGCCCTGAAAAACAAAGTCACTAATAGATACTCAATTTGGTTTGAAATATTGTAAATAGCGTATGGAGTTATGGTTCTGATTGATTCTAAATATCTCAACATTCATTCCACAATTACCTAGAAGTCCAACAGGGGTGCAACTGACGTAGCCACTTAGACCTTCACCCTTTCATGCTCTGCCCACAGGATTGATCCATCTCCAGTATACAGGCTTATCCCAGATATGTTGAAACTTAGTACACTCTTTGGACAGCATCCCTAATGTAAAGAAGATACATAATATTGAGAGTTTCTCCCCTGTAGTTACTTGGTGAGCTGTGAATATTGAGGATATATATATATATATATATATATATGAGAGAGAGAGAATGAGTGTAGGTTTGCTCAAAATTCAATAAATGCTTGGAAGGCAATCAGACATACAGAATATGGTGCTGTTTATTCAGAATTGTTGTCTTTAGCAAAAAGGGATTGGAGGCATGGATCCAGGGGTTCAGCACCAGCCAGTGAGTGAAGGAGTCAGATACCAAGTTTGGGTCCTGGTCTTGGATTTACAAAAAAGCAAGGGGGAGCCTACATATGGTAAGTAGATTATATCATTATGAAGAATATTTCTCTAGTGAAAGTGTCTCCTTTAAGTACTTAGTATCAATAATTCCTGTAATGCATCTTTAATACACAGTGAGAGAGAGAGGAACTTTTCTGAGTTTGACCATAACAACTTCTATTTTTGGTCTCTTATAAAGGAAAAGGCCAAGGTTGTTGAGCCTCTGGACTATGAAAATGTTATCGCACAAAGGAAAACACAGATTTACAGTGACCCTCTCAGAGACCTGCTTATGTTCCCCATGGAAGACATATCTGTGAGTTTAAACATGCTTTTTTGTCTGTCTTAGCAGTTGAACTCAGGGGTGGGCACTGTCCCTGAGCAATTTTGCTCACTAGTGCTCGATCAATTGGAGCCATAGCACCACTTCCAGTTTTCTGGTGGCCAATTGGAAATAAGAGTCTAATGGACTTTCCTTCCCTGCTGGCTTTGAATCGTGATCCTCAGATCTCAGCCTCTTGAGTAGCTAGGATTACAGGTGTGAGCCACCAGCTCCCACTCCACAAACACTTTTTGGAAGAACAAATACTACGTTTTCCACACCATTTCTTAAAGAATGTTCTTTGTCTTCCAGATCTCAGTGATAGGTCGTCAGCGGAGAACAGTTCAATCTACTGTACCAGAAGATGCCGAAAAGAGGGCCCAGAGCTTATTTGTCAAAGAGGTAATGGGCTCAATGGATACAGGAGAATATATATATAATAGTTATATATCTGTGTATTTGAAATTTAGTTATATAAAATAAAGTATTTGCCTTTTATTATGAGTGGAAAATAAAATTATAGAACTTAATTGACCTACATAAGAAATTTCTTGATATGATCCAGAAAATACAGCTTAAACATTTTCACAAGTAGCCTGTGGTTTGGGGATATTTCTTTTGGATTTCAGTACTCCCTGGTCTTGCAATCTGATTATTCAAAAAGGCATATGAATTGGTGTTTATTGTCACCAGCTGATTCTTCACAAGAAGATTCATGTACCAATATTTCCTGAAACAGTTTTTTAAAAATTTGTCAGTACACTATCTGATTAAAAAAAATAGAAATATGAAGCTGCGCATTGGTGGCTCATGCCTGTAATCCTAGCTACTTGGGAGATCTGAGGATCAAGGTTCAAAGCTAGCCCAGGCAGGAAAGTCCATGAGACTCTTTTTTTTTGTGTGGGGGGGTCCAGTTGTGGGGCCTGAACTCTGGGTCTGGGCACTGTCCCTCAGCTCTTCAGCTCAAGGCTAGTGCTCTACCACTTGAAACACAGCGCCACTTCCGGCTTTTTTCTTTTTGCTTATGTGGTGCTGAGGAATCAAACCCAGGGCCTCAGGCATGCAAGGCAAGTGCTCTACCACTGAGCCACCTTCCCAGCCCCCCATGAGACTCTTATCTCCAATTAACCACCAGAAAACCAGAAGTGGAGCTGTGGCTCAAAGTGGTAGAGTGCTAGCCTTGAGCAAAAGAGCTCAGGGACAGCACTCAGGCCCGGAGGCCAAGCCCCCCAAAAGGAAATACTTAAACTTTTCCTATACTTCAAACTCAAGATTTCTGTTTTCTTTTAGTGTATTAAAACCTATAGCACAGACTGGCATGTGGTAAACTATAAGTATGAAGACTTCTCTGGGGACTTTCGAATGTTGCCATGGTAAGTTTAGAATTCAAGGGAAACATGTTTCATGAGGAGAATTATCAGTGTTATTTACCCTTTTGAAAACCACCTGTGAAACCTCTTTTATAATATATATATTTTTTGTCAGTTGTGGGGCTTGAACTCTGGACTTAGGTGTTGTCCCTGAGCTCTTCAGCTCAAGGCTAGCACTGTACCACTTGAACCACAGCTCCACTTCCTGCCGGGGCTGGCTTTGAACCGCAATATTTGGATCTAAGCCTCCTGAGTAGCTAGGATTACTGACATGAGCCACTGGTGCCAGGCATTCTTGTAATGAAACCAACGACTAATTTAATATGTTTTAACTTTGCTCATTGAAATGCTTTCCAAAATATATAAGCTTACTTTTTGGCTTTAGTGCATCTATATCATAAAATACTATTAACTGATTCTGGATAAAATAGTAAAGCATTTTTCCAAAAGTGTTAATGAAGAAGATAGAAAATATTTGAATCAATTTGATGACCCCAAGCATCTCTGTCAACTGAGTTGAACAAATGACATGAGCACACGCTCAGAAGCCAGGCTGTCATCATGGTTCAAATCTTTTCTGCCACTGACTAGCTGGATGATCTTGGACGAGTCAGTCAACCTGTTTGAACTCTCCTTCCATTTCTCATCCTGACTATTACTAACCTTATAGGATATCATATGAGAAATATTTTAGAAAAAGTAAAGGAGAAATAAGACATTTGTGTAATCTTTTGTAATTTAGAAGTACTTTTCCAGAGAAGATAATAATCCTAAATGTAAAAATCCTAAGCGGAAAAAATGAAAATGAAGAGCTAGAAGTAGACTATGTTACTTTTTGACCCAGAGAAAAGAAAGTTCAGTCACTGTTAACATCTCTGGCTCAGGTTCCTTAGCAACTTTTGCCCTTTTGTGTATCTGGTCTTAGTTATGTCTTTGCTGCTGGCTGCAAATGTGGGAGTCCTTATATACAGATTATCAGGGGGCTGGGGTTTATCTCAGTATTAGAGATTTTCTGAGCATGCACAAGACCCTGTTTTCCATCCCCAGCACTGCAAAAAAGCAGTGTAAGTTTACTCCAAGGGAAGAATCTCTGTTTGGAAAGGAGAAAAGGATTACTCTTCAGTCTTGGCATTTGCTTGCTTGGGAAAGAGTGTTCTCATCTCAAATATTTGTTTTTTTGTTGTTGGTCTGTTCTGTGCAGTGTCTAAGACAATCCTCTTGCATTTTCAGCAAATCTCTGAGACCAGAAAAGATTCCTAATCATGTTTTTGAGATTGATGAGGACTGTGAGAAAGATGAGGTAATTATGGAAGAACTGTGCTGATTTCTTCAAGGTTACTTCTCCTGAAAAAGATTCTGAACAGAATTCCTCGAAAAGAGATACTGGATGAGTTGTTTTTGAATGCTCCATGGCCAGCTTTGAAAGGAATAAGTGGTTTTTAATGTTTTTTTAAATTGTTATCTTTCCAAATGGGTTTAGAAAATAAATCAAGTGAAATGATTAGATCTGTGTATAAACATGTTCCTCCACCTGTAGGCTAGGTTTGTAGAGTTGTTTTACTTGTGTTGGGCATGTGGTGTGGTGTTTCATCTAGATTCTCTTACCTGAAAGATTCCTCTTAGGACTACCTCATGGTCAGGTTTGACTGCTTAATGCAGAAGGCTTTCTGAGATGTGAGCCTGTACAATTCACATCTATTAAGTGCCTACTGCATGCATAGCAGAGGGCTTTTCATTTTATAGTTAGTTAATGATTTTAAAACTGTGCTGAGGTGGGTGAGGGTTTATGACTTAATTAAGAAGTGGGGGCAGTGTCTAGTCTGTATACCCTCAGTGTTGACTAATTAAATGCCTACTTTTTTGTCAATGGCTTTTTACTGTATTTCAGGATTCATCTTCTCTGTGTTCTCAAAAGGGTGGTGTCATAAAACAAGGCTGGTTGCATAAAGCAAATGTAAATAGTACCATTACAGTTACCATGAAGGTAAGAAGTAGTTACAATATTTTTCCATTATTTTAAGGATGCTGATATTGTAGTCTGTTTGGAAAAGTGTTTATCTTACAGTGAGTTAAGAAAATTATTAAATAGAAGTGTGGTTCAAGTGGTAGAGTGCCATCCAGGAGCTAAGGAGAGCAAGAGGCCCCGAGTTCAAGCCCCAATACTGGCATCAAGGGAAAAAAAGAAAAAGAAAATCATTAATGAGAAGATTCTCACATATACATGGGGCTTAAAAAAACGTGAATCTTCTGAACCTAAATTTAGAAGTGTACCTTTAAAAGGAAATGTAATGTAGTTATTAACATCTGAATTAGGAAGCTTAAGAAGGAGGCTGTCAGTTGAATAAAGAAAATAGCTTTCAAAAAGGCATCAGAGATTCAGAAGTGGGAAGGAATTAATGAGTAGAAGTATAGGGCAATCCATTTCTTCAGCAAATATTAATTAGGTGCATATTAAATACTAGTCACTGTGGCAAAGTATATGTATCTAAGCTAGCAGTCCCTTGTGGCCACTAGCCTCCAAACTATATAAGAAATACACCAAATTCACTTCTACACAGAACATGCCTTAGAGTGCTCAGAAATCTATTTAGAAAATTTTTACTTTGGCCAAGATAGTGAGCATGTATAAGGGACTTGTATGAGATAAAAGGAGTAATGTTGAAAGGGGTTAATCATATAGAGCCTAGAATACTTTTTTAAATTTTATTTTTAAATTTTATTTTATTGTAAAGATACTGTACAGAAGGGTTACAGTTACATGAGTAAGGTGATGAGTACATTTCTGGTCAAGCATTGTTACCCCCTCCTTTGTTGTTCTCCCATTATTGATGTGGGATTGGCTTTTGTTCAGGAAGGAGTGAAGAGGCATGGAGATCCAAAGGAAAAGCTAATAAGCAACTTCAAGACTCTTGAGAAGAAAAACAAATTATTCCCTCATACTGGCTATAACTGCTGTTTCAGATATTCAGCATAAAATTATGTGGTTTGCTGAAGATGATTTACACTTTCATTAAGTATTGAAGGTCATTCTATCTTTCAAATACCCTGCAAGCAGAAGCCATACATGTCTACCAGGATAAGACTCAAATTTGATCTTAATTGAATATTTCGCCTGCTGCTTTTCCTTTAGGGGCCATGTCCTGTCCTCACTTTCATTTTCAAGCCCCCAAGATAATGAAGCCAACTTCCAGGATGCTTTCTATGTTCTGCATCTAAATACGAGCCTCAGTGTGTGGTGATTAGATGAAAAACCACATAATGGGTACATGATGTGTGCCTGGCACCATACCAAGTGTTTTATATTCTGTATCTTATTTACTCTTCATGGCAGTCCCATATTATTATTCTTAGTTTCCGGAAATGGTGTGGCATAGAGAAATCTGATAATTAAACCATACTCCAAGTTTTGAGAGGTAAGATAGATGTGAACCTAGGTAGGCTGATTCCAGAACCTATCCTGCTAACCAGTATACTCTAGTATAATAATAATAATAATAAAGCTCACTAGCTGAGCAAGTCTCAAGTCTTCATTAAAATATAGCTGTTATCATGTTCAGAAATATACATTCAAGGGCTAGAATTTTGTTCAGATGGCCAAATAAGATTTGTATCATTTAAAAATTTTAACACATAAAAACTATGCATTTGGGGCTGGGAAGGTGGCTCAGTGGTAGAGTGCTTGCCTTGCATGCATGAGACCCTGGGTTCGATTCCTCAGCACCACATAAGCAGAAAAAGCCAGAAGTGGTGCTGTGGTTCAAGTGGTAGAGTGCTAGTCTTGAGCTGAAGAAGTGAGGGACAGTGCCAAGGCCCAGAGTTCAGGCCCCACAAATAGCAATAAAAATAAATAAGCCGGGTTCCGGTGGCTCACACCTATAATTCTAGCTGCTCAAGAGGCTGAGATCTGAGGATCACGGTTCAAAGCCAGTCCAGGCAGGAAAGTCCATGAGACTCTTATCTCCAATAAACCACTAGAAAACCAAAAATGGCACTGTGGCTCAAGCGGTAGAGCACTCGCCTTGAGCTGAAGAGCTGAGGGACAGCGCCCAGGCCCAGAGTTCAAGCCCCACGACTGACAAAAATAAAAAATAAAAAAGTAAATAAAAACAACAAAAAAACTGTGTATTTATGGGGTCCAGGGTGCCATTTGAATATGTGTGTACAATCTGCAGTGATCAGATTATGGTAATCAACACATTCAACACTCAAAATGTTCATCATTTTCTTATATGCTGGGAACATTCAAAATCTTCTCTACTATTTATTTTGAAATTAATGATTACTTGTCAACTACAGTTACATTTCTAATGCTGAACATTAGAAATGATTCCCTCCTCTGACTATAACCTGGCTTCTGCAGTTTTGGCTCCCATTCCCTCTTCTAACATTCTCAAAATATTAATATCTCTTACCTCTACTTAAGTTCTAGCTCAACACTACGCAAATATATTGTTGGGAAATTTGAATTCCTAAAACAAGATATAAGGAAACCAATATATTCACAAAATAATTCACCACAGGAATATTTAAAGTAATTTCACTTATACTTTTGGATTTTAATTTGCCTTACCTACAACTTTTCCATTTTAAGGAGCCCATATAGTAGCAATAAAAATCCAGTTTCCTGTAAAGTCTTATTTCGTAACTTCTGAAACTGATTAAATGATGTGGTAGAAAGAGTTAATGGGCCTAATCTCTAGAATCTGTGTTTGTTCCCTTACATACACATGGAAAAGGGGAGTGAAAGTTGGTAGTGAAGTGATAGGGAGGGCATTTTGAATTATCCAAGTGAGCCAGATGTGATCACAAGGGTCCTGATTAAGTAGAAGAGAGAGGAGGAAAAGAGAAGCAGGATAAGAGACATGAGAATGGAGCCAGGTCAGAGAAAGAGATGCTGTATAGCTGACTTTGAACATAGAATCACAGTCCAAGATAGGTGGACAGCCTCTTCTAGTCAGAAAAGGCAATGAATTGGAAATGGATTCTCCTCTGCCTTGATTTTAACCCAGTGAGATCCATGGTGGACTTCTAACCTAAAGAATTATGACATTAATCTATTTTAAGTCACCAGGTCTGTGGTAATTCACTACTATACTAGCAATAAAAACAAGTAATATAATCAGATAGTTAAAGATTGATTATTTAGCTTCTGTATTATTTATATCTGAAGTTTTAAACTCTAGAACTTATGGGGACCAGGTAGGAATCATAAATTCATCAAGTGGTTGGTGGCTACGAGGCATCCTGGCAACCATGTGGTCCAGATGAAGAGGCCTACTGCCATTTGTCTTGAGGTCATCAATTGCTTGTGCCACTGATGACATAGCCTAATTTGCCTCTTCTCTTTCTACCCCCAGGTGCTTATATTTTGGCCACTTTGTGGTTTTTATGTGTGACATATAATTCATATAGCACAAAAAGACATTTATTTCTTCTTAAACCTCTGTAAGACAGTAAGCAAATGAAGGGAAAGAGTAGACCAAATTGGTCATATGAGGCTACACGCATTAAACAAAATTAATAGGGATACTTTGGAATGTAAGGGCCATAATGAGTTTTGGGAATTGTTTCTGATTATGGATATCATTTATCCCTGTCCTTCCCTATTGCAGATTGTAGGTCTACATTTTGTGTTTCTGGGAGCTATCTATCCATAAATCCTATACTCTCTTGGTTATACCTTGTAAGTCAAAGCAGGAATATTGTATTTCAGGATTTGTTACAGTTAGAATGGACATGAAAGGAAGATTCCTTTAAAGTGTTCTGAAAAAAATTGTCATGGTTGCTTTATCCTATATGAATTGCATTTTAACTATTTGATGGTTTAACTTTATTGGATTTAGATCAAACTTGGAGTGATTACTCTAAATAATAAATATTACCATGTTTTCTTTCTGTATAAACAGAAGGCATGTAAGGATATGTTTAAAGGGTGGAAGTGAGTAGTCATTTCCCAGTTGCTAGACTAGAGCTTAGAGTAGGCCTAAAGCAGAATTCCAGGTCTATGAACCAAGACAGTTTGAGGAACTACGGCTGGTTACCTAAGGTGCCCTGTTAGAATAGAGGGCCACGTGAATTCTTTCTGCTTCAAGTCTGTGTTGGTTCGGACACAGGAGAAAAGTTAAGTCTTCTGGTGGCATGGGCAGTTGAGCCAGCTTGTGGAAAGGCAGAGGCAGGACTGAGGCCAAGGGCTGAGAAGACACATGTTGAAAAGAAAAATTTCTACAGGTTTGTTTGTACTATGTGAATCTTCAAAGTGAACAATGCAAATGAATCTCAAAAGCGAATGGAAGATGACTCAGGTGTGCTATGATCTGAGTCATTTTCCCAATACTGGAGGTAGATTTATTCCTGGCACTGCTGGAGTCCCCTCTTTGCTATAATATCTAGCCCACACTGGTGAGAAACTTTAGTAGCATTACTAACTAGCACTACAGAAACTAGAGCTCACAGAGTTAACAGTAAAGAACCTTTGCTTATCAGAATATCCAAGCTTAGAGAGACTCTGCAAACTCACAGTAGACTAACCAGGAAGCAGCCGCAGTAGGATCTGGGTATTAATCATGACTCATTGGCAAATAACAGCCCATAGAAGCCAGGCTGCTTCCTTTGTATTTTATCTCAGTCTCCTTGATGCACTGTGGCTTGACATTGGCCTTGCAGGTCCTTTAGGGGTTGATAGGAAATAAAAGCAGGGCATGTGGTACCTCCTAGAGTAAGTTGTATGTTTAAATGGTTTCTGTTTTTATTTTTAAACTAAAAATTTTATTGTAAAGGTGATGTACAGAGGGGTTACAGTTACACATGAAAGTAATGAGTGCATTTCTTTTTGAACAGTGTTACCCCCTCCGCCATTTTCTCATGGTTCCTCCCCCACACCCTTCCCTCCCCAAGTTGCAAAGTTCATTTCCAACATAGTCTCTAGTGAATATCACTGTTGAATTGGTTTGTCCCACTGTTTCTGTTCTTCCCCTTCCCCTCCTG